GGAAAGATGTGCAGGACGGGATGCGGGTGCACTTCGGTCAGGAGTGCGTGGCGTAGCTGGGATCCTGGGATTGCTCCTGGAGGGGAAGGCGCTTAGGATGCTGAGGTGGCAGTTGTCTTGCCGTGGGGTTGTCAGAGGTGTGGAGTCCCGTGAGGGTGGGAGGTGGGTGCAGGAGTGGGTGGAGAGGGGTAGGGAGAGGTGCAGGAGTGAGAGGGTGAGAAGGGGGCCAGCGGACGGGGCGGGAAGGTGCTGCCTTGGCAACCGGAGTCGGTGGCACAGGGTGCCCGGCTTGCAGGCACAGTTGGGGACAACAGATGCTCAGTGTTTAAGAGAAGTGCCTTTGCTTGAGGCTGTTGGAAAACGACCGTGTCCTGCCTTGAATTACCAGCTCCTGTACTCAGCTTTCAGGTCGAGGTCCTGCTCTCCTTTCCTCTGCTCACTATTCTAGGTGTGGACCCTATCAGCTCAGTGGTGTTGGGTTTTTGTTTCAAGCATGCCAGAGAACAAATACAAACCTGAAGGATGTGGCTGGAATAGTGACTTCCTGGAATTAGGCGTTTATTTTTTATTGCAAGATAAGGCTCTCCTCTGGGACTATAATTGAAAACACCTGTAAAACTGCTCCTCTGGGACAGTTACTTATGGAAAACAGGCTTGATTTCTCATTGTAGAGCTAGGAATATATGATTCTTTATGCCTCCCACCCCGCCCAGTGCTATTTTTTTTCTCCTTTTCTCTAGTAATGCTGGGGAAAAGATCAGGAGGGGTGCACATCCCCCCACCCCCACCCCCACTGCAGTCTTGAACAATGTTGCATATCCTTTATTATTGTTATATTCTTTATCACTTAGCCCTGACCAGCTTATGGTGATCGATCATGCACTTTTGCTTGACCCTGCAGTCCCACTGATATTTGGAACAGGGAAGCTCGTAGCCAGTGAGTTGAAGCTGAAATTTAGAGCTGTAAATTGTGCTGATTCAGTCAGACCTCTCTCCGCTTTCTACTTTCAGCTCTGTGCTCGGTACTCATCCTTTGCTTTCTTTCAGACATTTCTGTCTTTTCCTAAATGCTCTTTCTCCATGTAAATATTTTTCTCTGTTTCCAATCTTTTCTATATATATATATATTTTTTTTACATCTCTTTCCCCAACCCCCATTTTTCTATTTCTGGGTTTTCTCTTTACACCTGTTGTACCACACTATTGCCAGTTTTGCTTATGTGCTTATTAGCTGTGAGGAAGTGGGAAACAGAATTACGGTGATAGGTGTAATCATTCCTTTTTAGTCTTGATACATACACCTGACGTGTGCCTATTTCCTTACCAATCGATTATAATTCAGGCAAGACTTGGTTTTTAGTTATTTAGCCCTGACCCTCTCTGGTGTGTTCTCTAGCTCCTGTCTCCTTTATGTTTCTCTACCACCATAAATATGAAAGTGAATTAAGTCAATTGAAGGTGTTCAATATCCTATTGTCTTGATTTTTCCATTTTAGCTACTTGAGTGTCATCTGTTGCCACCTGTCAATGTCAAGATGACTAAGCTGGGATTTTTGCGGTTGTCCTACGAGAAGCAGGACACACTTCTGAAGCTTCTCATTCTGTCAATGGCTGCTGTGTTATGTGAGTGTGCATTTGGACCATCCCTCTTTCTTTGGGGAGGGAAAGGAGAAAATCTTGAAAAAATTAAGAATGGCTTTCTTATTCTTTTCAGCAAATTGTAATGTGTTCTTTTTACTACTCTCCATCAGTATAATTTTATAAAGCAAAAGAAACAAGGATTATAAAAGGACTAGTGATCATCTAGGAAAGATTGGGAAGCATGCTATGCTAATTCGGTTTTCTCACAGGTCTAAAAGAGATATTGAGTGCCCTTCGATACTGAATTTCAAAAAGACAGTTTTCTTAAAGTCTCTTCAGAACTTTCTGTTTTTAGATATTTTAGCTCTTTATGAGCTGTAAGTATAGTCTTGACCGCCTTACCTCTTAGTTTGCTCCAAAGTTAAGGTTAGTTGTGGGGAACTCATCATATATAAAAGATGACCATGTAAACTGAGCCCAGTGTTAGTAGGTGAATGCATTATTATAGGCATTGGTAGTCATTAGTTAAATGTGTCCTGCCTAAGTGGAAAATGTGGGGTCATTGTCAGGAGAACATGAACTTTCTTTTATGTGGGGGGGATGGATAAACACTTTCTTCAGGGATCTTTTTATATTTCTTATGACTTTTGTGCTGGATAATACTATTATTTTTATAATACTACTATTTACTATTATCCATGGCACATTACCATTAAAATATCAATTCTCTGGTATTTGCAGCATTCTCCACTCGTCTTTTTGCTGTCCTGAGATTTGAAAGTGTCATCCATGAGTTTGATCCGTGAGTACATTTGCTTGGTCTGGTATTTTCTTTGAGAAGCATTCAGGTTCGTGGGTTTCACATTCACATTCCAGTCAGCTCTTAGTGATGGGGATGTACTTTGTACACATTCAGGGGGAAAACCACTCAAGTTTTCCAAAGGAGATAATTGTCTTCTTCTGAAACATTTCTGTTAGAATTAACCAAGTGACTCTCTTAAACTTATAAAAAATATAAGAGGCATTGCTGGGGTGCCTGCCTATCACTTAAACTCTGGCTAAGAGCAAGCAGCCGGGCTTCTCAGCATGGTCAATAGTTAGTGATGCAGATTGAGGGAAAGGGGCCTGGTGTGTGTTCTAGACTGAAAAGAAAATCACAAGCCATGAACTTGAGATCCATGTCTTTTTTTTTTTTTTTTTTTCTGTTTAACAATTTATATGGTGGAAATTGGGCCTATCAGTTAAGTTCTAAGATTTTGAGGAAAATTTAAAGCTTATGAGTTTGATTAGGGATTTTGTATATTAGCTAAAAAAAGATACCCATAAAAGACATGTGCTGAGCATTCATTTTGTTCCATGCACTGTTTTGCAGGTTATCTCTAAAACTTACCTACAACCCTATGAGACAGAAGTAGTACTTTCTGTCCTTTTCACAAAAGAGACTGAAGCTGGGAGAGACAATTTAGGGTTATGCACTTAGTAAGTAAAGGAGCCGATTTGACTCTAGGGTTGTCTGTCTCTAGACACTGGAATCACTGTTATATTGCCTAAAGTTAAGGCTTAATTAAAATTTGGAGAGCCAGAATCATAGGTTCTTGGAATGTTGATATCTTAAAAATAACATATTCAGCTTAAGGAGCATTGATTCAGAATGCTCCTGCATGTATGTATCTACAAACTAGTCATTTTGTTTTGTGTAGGTATTTGAAAGCACTTTGAAGGAATACAGATACTTTCTTTGGGATTCCCCCAAAACAAATTATGTTTTTTCTCACGAATAAGGAAACTCACATCCTTTTGTTTCTTAACGACCAGTCAGGGCTTTCTTTCAGACCCTCTCGATGGGCAAGCATTGAGGTGACGGGGTCAGGGAAAGCAAGAATATCTGCTCTGTGGTCATAGTGCTGGAAGGGACTGTGAAGATCTTGTGATTTGATATTTCTGACATTTCTTCTTGCAGAACAGAAAATTGAGGGCTGTGACCCTAGTCCACACCTATTCCCACTAACTTATACTCCCTCCATTTCACTCACTCTGCTTCTCCTCCTCTCAGGCGAAGTACACAGTTCTGACACATGTTGACTGCCTGTAACTCTTACCCTTTGGTCTCTGACAGTTACCAGAATAACATACATTAGCAATAAACAGAAGGATAGTGATTTCTGCTACTTCTGCTTTAGCTGCTAACACTTGACTGACCAAGGAGGAAATAGGATTAGAAGGGTGAACAGGAATGATGGTTAGTCATTATTTTTGTTTACTTATATCTTTATTTGTATTTTTTTGCCTTTTTATTTATTTATTTTTTTAATGTTTTTACTAATTTTAGAGAGAGAGAGGAAGGGAAAGGGAGAGAGAAAGAAACATTGATGGGAGAGAGAAACATGGATCAGCTGCCTCCTACTTACCCCGGACGGGGGATTGAGCCTGCAACCAATGCAAGTGCCTTGACCCAGAATAAATCCAGCAATTGCACAGGACAATGCTCACCAACTGATTTTTTTGCCTTTTAAAACATTTCTTCTTAAGTACATAGCTTGGACCTAAAGAACTGTGTCTTTCCATGTATAATACTGTTTTATGTCGAATATTTTTTATGTAATTTATAGTTTGCACTGCTATGTAGATGACATTTGGAACTATTTTAAATACTAATAATTAAGAAGTTTGTGTTATGGTGTCCAGCCGGTGTGGCTCAGTGGTTAAGCATTGACCCATGCACCAAGAGATCGCTGGTTTGATTCCCAGTCAGGGCACATGCCCAGGTTGTGGGCCCAATCCCCAGTGAGGGGCATGCAGGAGGTGGCCAATCGTTCTCTCTCATCAATGTTTCCATCTCTCTCTCCCTCTCCCTATAAAATCAATAAAGAAAAAAATTTTTTTTTAAAGTCTGTGTTATGGAGTGGATTAAAAATTTTTTATCCTGTGTATGGTGTTAAACCGACATCTTCAGAGATGCTTATCACCTGAACTTATCCATGTGTCCTGTGTGTGGTATGGAGACATTCTTTTGCATTTTCCTGTCACTTGAAAAGAGCTGTATTTACTGGTGCCCACATCTGAGCTGTTTTGTCTTTTGGGTGCTTGAATTCTCTGACTGTTGCTCATGCCTACAACGTGCCAGCCTGATGGAGTGTCTTGGTAGGGAGCTTTGTCATAATGTTAGGCTTTAGCTGCATTTTCTTGTGAGAGAAGCAGTGCTTTAGTTGAGACAGGCATAGAGCTAAACATGAGACTTAGAGTTATATAAAATGATTTTCATGCTTGGCGTAATTTCTGGTACCAAATGAACTTTGCTGGAGCAATGATAAATTCCATGGAGGTGTAACTTGAGGAGCGTACTTTCCTGCATATTGGTGCAAGTATTTGAATATGACGAGGAGGAGACATGGATCCTTTTTTCCTTGCTATAGGTACTTTAATTATCGGACTACTCGGTTCCTTGCTGAAGAGGGATTTTATAAATTCCATAACTGGTTTGATGACCGGGCCTGGTACCCATTGGGTCGAATCATTGGAGGAACAATTTACCCAGGTGAGGGAAACAGCATTTTTTTTCCAAACAGAAATAGGTATTTGTATATTATGGAACAGTTTTTTTTTTTATTTTATTTCTAATATCTTCATTTTATGATACTTGTAATTTCATTCCGATTACAGATTCCAAAGTGGATTTTATAAAGATAGGAACACATGTATGAGAGAGTAACGGTGGGTGGTTTTTCATAAATTCTGGACTTCTGATAGAATCCTTAGGAGAGAAATTTTTAGGCCTGCTGCAGTTGCTTTGTTAGTATTTCTGGTGGTTTGTGAAGGCCTATGTTGTCACTTTATTGGTATTTGGATTTTCCGTTAAGTTCTTTACCCAAGGATAACCTAATGGAGTTTCTTCTTCCTGTTACAGGCCTAATGATCACCTCTGCTGCAATCTACCATGTACTCCATTTTTTCCACATCACCATCGACATTCGGAATGTCTGTGTGTTCCTGGCCCCTCTCTTCTCTTCCTTCACTACCATCGTCACGTACCACCTTACCAAAGAGCTCAAGGTGAAGGATTCGGAGTGACAGGAGGCTTGGGAATGAATGTTATTGAACCTCTGTAGTAGATGACAAAGGGTAGGGGACTGAACCTTAGCAGGGCAGGGAGCCAGAGGCTAAAGACAGTTTTATTGGTTCACTCCAGCCCCTCCCTAGAATATGTGGTTTCTTATCATTGACAACTGTTTGTCCTGTAAAGAGAACATTTGGCCCGGTTGGTGAGGCTCAGTGGAGTGAGTGTCCTCCCATGGAATGAGAGGTCCCGGTTTGATTCCCAGTCAGGGCACATGCCTGGATTTCAGGCTCAATCCCCAGTAGGGGGCATACAGAAGACAGCCTATTGATGTTTCTCTCTTGCATGGATGTTTCTATCTCTCTCTCCCTAAAAATCAATAAAAAACATTAAAAAGAGAGAGACAGAACATTTGAAGGTCAAATGTAAATTGCTACATAAAGGAAGAAAAAAAACATTTAAAATGCGAAATGTGAAGTTTAGATTTTGAAGTCCTCACAATCTGAGGGAGAGGAAAGATAACCACAAGACATATTCTAAAGTGGTCAGTTCTTGCTACTAAAAATGAACTCTTAGCGTCAGCCTGCGGTCCTGAGAGACCCGGGTTCGGTTCCCGCTAAGGGCGCGTACCTCGGTTGCAGTTTGTCCCCAGCCCTGGTTGGCTGTGCGGGTGGCAACCACTCGATGCGTCCTTTCACGTTGATGTTTCTCTCTCTCTGTTCCTCTCTCTCCCTCCCACTCTACCTGAACAAAAAATGGAAAAGTGTCCTCGGGTGAGGATAAAAAAATAAATAAATAAAAATAAAAAAAAATAAAAATGAACTCTTAGCAATTATTTGTTGATTTTTTTAAAAACATTTATTTAAAAATTCTTTTTTTTTTTTTTTTTTTTTATCCTTACCCGAGGACATTTTTCCATTTTTGTTCAGATAGAGTGGGAGGGAGAAAGAGAGAGAAACATCGACGTAAAAGGGACACATCGAGTGGCTGCCACCCGCACAACCCAACCAGAGCCAGGGACAAACTGCAACCGAGATACATGCCCTTAGTGGGAACCGAACCTGGGTCTCTCTGGACCGCAGGCTGACGCTCTAACCACTGAGCCAAATCGGCCAGGGCTATTTAAAAATTCTTAAACCACTTGGCTTCTGTAGTTGATTTCATAATACTGATTCATTTTCTAAGTTTCTGCATTGCCGACACTAGCTCTGTGGAGCCTATTTTTAGTTTGTGGCAATGGTATCCGAGATACCTGAGAGGTGTTAAACTAGTAGGAGGGTTTGGGAAACTTGAGTTTAGTTTGGAAGCCTTTTATTTTCATCCTTCTCTTGCTGCCCTTGTTCCAAATTTGACTCTTATTAGCAGACAAGTCCTTCCTCTCTCTGAGTGTGAGTTAGAGTTTGTTGTTCCTCTCTCCTGAGGTCACAGATAGCCTGGTGATATTCCAACTTGATTATCCAAACTCTTGGAATCTTTAGTCCAGATAGATTATCGCCTATCTCTGTTGGCTTTTTAGCTCAAATAATAATTATCTTTCTTTGCTTGTACTTGCATAGATTTTGAGAGGTGTGTTTTGTGTTTCTGTGGTGTGCAGATATTGTTAGGGATAGGGATCCATAAACCTGGGGATACCCCAGCCAAACAGCCCATTTTGGAGCAGTGTCTGATGTCTGACAGCTTACATGCTTTGTCTGCCTTGGCATATGTGCACTCAGTTTCAGACCTGGATCATCATGGGGAGTTGATGTGAAGTTTTTAGCTATCTTGTGATGTGAACATTTTTAGCATCATATTTACCTTTGAAAGTGTTGGACTGTTCTCTGGGCCCATTTGAAACAGAATGGACTGGTGGATCCTCTCATAGATGTATTGGTGTTAAATTCCTATTACCCCTCTTTTCTTACAGGATGCGGGGGCTGGGCTTCTTGCTGCTGCCATGATTGCTGTGGTTCCTGGGTATATCTCCCGATCTGTGGCTGGCTCCTACGATAATGAAGGTGAGACTGAAACGCTGAAGAAGGGCTCTCCCCTTCATTTCCCAGTAAAACTTCATGAAGTGCAGTAGACTCTGGGTTCACATCTATTGTTTAGCAATAGCAAAAATGGTATCTGGACAGGAAGATTAGAAATGAGCAGGAAGGGGTCTCAGAGAAGTTTAGATTCTCTTTCTGTCACCTCCTGTAGAAAGTTTGGTAATTTTCCTTACGTAAGGCATTTGACTCATCTCTGGGCTCGTAAAAATAGAGTTAATTTTTAGTTTTGAATGGTACTCTTGTTTTAACATTATTTATTGGCTTTATTTTCTTAGATAAGAGGAATGAATGTTCTTAAAACTGTAATGACTTTTATTAACTTATTTTCAATTCAACCTATATTTATTGACTGTTATTGAGAAAACAGTGTTAGGTATTATAAAGATTGATAATGAATAAGATTATTTTGGCTCATAATTAAGGAATTATAGAGCTATATAATGAATAAAATTATGTTGGACCGTAATCTGTTAAAGAAGATAAATACAGTATGGACCTATAAAAAAACTAATAATAGGCAGATAATATGTGAGCCATGAAAGAAATATGAACAGAGTTCTTTGGGAATATAGTTAAAGGAAACATGAATTCAGATTCAGGGATCAGAAAGACTTTTTGGAAGTAGTTTAGGTTGAAGTAGACCCTGAGGTTGGGACTTCCAACAGGCAGATATTAAAAAGAAGGGCAGTCAGGGCATAAGGACCAGCTTGTGGTAAGATGGAGACACAGGATGGTACGGGATATATTTAGGACTACACTAGCAAGGAATTTAGTGCCTGGAAAGAATAGTAATGATAATGACCAACACTCACTGAGTACTTGCTGTATGTGAGCTACTCTTCTAAGTGCTTTACATGCAATAATTAAATTTGTCTTCATAACACTTATGAATTAGATATAATTATGGACTCATTTGTGCAAGAAACTGAGACAAAGAAAGGCAAAATAATTATAGTATAAATGGGTTGTAGATCTGAGATTTGAATCTAGGCAGTTTATTCCAGAACAGTATTCTTAAGTATATGCCAGCGTGGCCCTTTATTGACTTTTTGTTGGATTCTTTTTGCAGGAATTGCCATCTTTTGCATGCTACTCACCTACTACATGTGGATCAAAGCAGTAAAGACTGGTTCCATCTACTGGGCAGCCAAGTGTGCCCTTGCTTACTTCTACATGGTAACTTTTCACTTCTTTCTTCTAGGAGAGTCTCTGTGTCTCAATACCTACTGGGATCAATTGATATAAACTGGAAGTAGCTCTTGGGCTTGGAGACCATGGAAGAGAGGCTAGAAGTCTTTGTTATCTCTTGTTTCCATACAAAGACGAATCCAAGGCAGGCATGGATATTAACTGTATAATAGCAAGATAGAGATGTTTTCATTTGTAAAGTTCTTCAGATACAGTATTTCCTATGGGTACATATTGGTTGGCCAACTCTCTTTTCTGATATGGTCCCCTTAAATTTTTCATATATATACTTATTTGATTTTACGTGTACACTTAGACTTCTTCCCTTAACGACTTCCACTTGCTCATGTTTCACATGTATCCCTAAAGTCTCCAGGTGAACTTAAAATAGATTGCATCTAGATTGACACTGAAGGTTAGGTGCCTCTTAACCTTGTTTTGTGTAGGGAACAAGCCACAGGGAACAAGGGATTGAGTTATAACAATGGGTGTGAATTTGATTTATGAGTGAAATCGATTTTCCTATTTAAAGAAAACGGTTTTTGAAACTTTAAAAAAACATATTTTTTAAAATTATTTTTCTTTATTGATTTGAGAGAGAGAGGAAGGGAGAAGAAGAGAGAGATAGAAACATCGATGAGACAGAACATCGATTGGCCGCCTCCTGCAGGTCCCCCACTGGGGATTGGGCCTACAACCTGGGCATGTGCCCTGACCAGGAATCGAACCGGTGACCTCTTGGTGCATGGGTCGACTCTCAACCACTGAGCCACACTGGCTGGGCCGGTTTTTGAAACTCTTTAAGCCACTGGGCATAAATAAAATTTATTAGTTATTGTAAAGATATGTTTTTTTTAAAGTCACAGATAATATTCTAAGGTATACTGGTGGTGGTATGAGGGGAAATGCTCAGAAGATCTGTTCTTTATCCTGTCATAGGTCTCTTCGTGGGGAGGTTACGTGTTCTTAATCAACTTGATCCCTCTCCATGTACTGGTGCTGATGCTCACAGGACGTTTCTCCCACCGGATCTACGTGGCCTACTGTACTGTTTACTGCCTGGGTACCATTCTTTCCATGCAGATCTCCTTTGTGGGTTTCCAGGTGAGCCCTAGTCTGAGTGGGTTTTTTAGCTTCTACTTTTTCTAAGCAGCTCCAACTAGATAGATTTTTCTTGGATTTTGGTGAGAGTAAGACTTATTCACGGGTCTAACCTTGGACTGCTTGTGTTAACTGAAGTAACAGAATCATTGGTCATGAAAGTCTCTTTCCAGGAGTGTATTAATATTTGCTCCATTAAGTTTGAATTTATGAGTCTTAATTTAGCTTAGGTTTGGAGGAGGAGGAGGAGGAGATATTTTGGTTGAGCTGAGTTGATGTGAGTGATCAAAGTTATTTCTAGTACTTTTTATTGATAATGATCCCATTTAATAGTAATGGCCCCTGAACTTCTTAATGGGGCCTAAGTGAAAGTCCTTCAGGGAGCAGAGCACAAACCTGGTAGCCACATTACCTTCCAGAGTTGAGACAACTATTAAATCAGAATAATATGGTGTATTTGGTTTCTCATGTCAGTCTTATGAAAGTTCAGAGGTCAGCAAGTATTTATTTACTGATCACCTGCTATATGCAATTTGCTGATCACTGGGAAATTGAAAAGTAACAATATGGTCCTGGTCCTTATTGTTCTGGAAATCTAGTTCTTGGACCAACAGCATCAGCAGTATATGGGAACTTGTTAGAAATGCGAATTCTGGTGCTCTACCACAGACCTGCCGAATCCGAAACTTTGGCAGTGGGTTCAGCAATCTCCTCCCCCTCCGCCATGATTATGATGCCACTAGAGTTTGAGAACGGCTGTTCTAAACAAAGAATTTTAAGTCATGGAAGAGATCTAAAGTTCAGGGAACCACAGAGGGAGTAATGGATTTCAATTTGGCAGCTTAGAGGGAAATAGTATTTGCATTGGGCTTTGAATGATGAGAATTCCAGTGAATGCAAATTTTGGGAATATGAGAAAATTACAATTCAGGTTAAAAGGAAAAAAAAATAGCCTGAGCAAAGGCCAGAAATGGATAGAGTATGTGTTCTTTGGAAAATGTAGCAGGTGAATTGAGCCCTCTTCTAGATTGGTCCTAGTTCCTTAGTGGCTTCAGGGCTTATCTGACCTTTTTGTCTGACCTAGGTCAGCATAATTCAGGTCTAGTCTGGACCCATTCTTTTCTCACCTTCTCATACTTATGCTCTCACCCACAGCCCGTCCTTTCGTCAGAGCACATGGCAGCTTTTGGGGTCTTTGGTCTCTGCCAGATCCATGCCTTTGTGGATTATCTGCGCAGCAAGTTGAACCCACAGCAATTTGAAGTTCTTTTTCGAAGTGTCATCTCCCTGGTAGGCTTTGTCCTTCTCACCGTGGGAGCTCTCCTCATGCTGACAGGTAGGAAAGGCCCAAGACTCCAGTATGAAATGTAAATGGGTTCGAACATAGAATAAACTCTGAAAAGATGGGTTAAGAAAGATTTCTTCTTTTTCTCCTATTTCTCTTTTCATTTTAAACATACGCAGTCCTACCTCTTCAACATCTGTTTCACTTATCAGCCCAGTGTTTGGATTCAGCATAGGAAAGGATGTCTTGTTAGAGCAGCTCTTAATCTCGGAAGAATCACACTTGGTGAAAGGACTGTATCTTACCTTGCTAATTGTTCTTTCTTTTTTCTGTTGGCAGGGTGGGAGAAATCCTAACATTGCTTGCCAAACCCTACAGCATGGCCTCATCTAATCCTACATGCACTAAGCCACAACTGTTCAGTTTGCTTGGCATGCCACATTTTCCTCACGTGCACTTCTCAGAGGCTGATTTGATTTTGCCAAGTTTCTGTGTATTAATCTAATTCAGAGTAGCACCAGAGGACATAATTGACTTAGTTTATAGAGTTGGCCTTGGTTTGACCAGATTTGGCCTAAACCCTTTCAGGAAGCACTTCTGTCTCCCTTCTGAGTTTATGTACAGCTCGACTTTATTCTGCCCATCCTACTGACAGAAGTACTCTCAAGTTTGAAAAAAAGGAGTGAAATTCTCAAAAGTATTGATGGCATTTAAACAAAAACCTAGTCCTTCTCTGTCTCAGAGAATCTCATTTGAATGAGAACTTGTGATTAGTTAGGATTAGATGTTATTTTGTTTCAGGAATGATTGTGAAACGTGTTCTCTTTGCTGCCAGGAAAAATATCTCCCTGGACTGGACGTTTCTACTCACTGCTGGATCCTTCTTATGCTAAGAACAACATCCCCATCATTGCTTCTGTGTCTGAGCATCAGCCTACGACCTGGTCTTCATACTATTTTGACCTGCAGCTCCTTGTCTTCATGTTTCCAGGTCTGTCTGCCTTGTGTTCTGAAGTGGCCTTCACAAGAATCACCAGTTGTTTAAAAATAAGTAGAATACCCTTGTCCATGTGTGTGTGTAAGTGGTGTGTGTTTGTGTGTGTGTTTTGCCTATTTACCCTTTGCAGAACAGAGGATGGCTAAGCACCTTTTTCTGATATTTGAAGTAGAGTCGAAGTTAGACTTGAACAATTGCAGACTCTGGAGAGTTCAGAGCCTCGCAGTTTTCTGTTCATTTACATGTTAAAATTCAACTCTAATTTGTATTCAGGTTTGTTTTTGTTCTGTTTTGTTTTTTAATACTTCTAGTGTACCTCTCTCCCACTGCCCATCCCTGACTCCTCCCCATTTATCTTCTTGGCAGTATTGAAGTCCAGGATAGGCATGGCTGATTGTAAAGCCTCTTCACCTAACCTATCTTCCAGCCAATCCAGATATGTTTTTGTATTTACCAGCTGTAGATGGCTTCCTTTTTTTATTTTATAAAATAACTCACATTTTTTAATTATAAAAGTACGCTATCTATTGTTCTCACCACCCATCTGTTGCTATAATATAACATTCTTATGTATATTCATCCAGTTATTTATTGAATAAAAATGAGATGCTATAGTTTTTCCCCTAATTATTTTCATTGTATAAAGAATCATGATTATTTCTGTAGAGTATTTTTTTTAGAGAAATAGTATTTAAGATACATTATTTGTTAGCCTTTTTAAAGTCAGAGATGTGTAAAGAAGGCAAATGGTCCATAATCTCTGCAGCAATATTTTAATTGATATATTACACTCTATTTTATAAACATGCTATAATTTACCTCCTTAATGCTGGACATTAGGTGGTTTCTGATTTTATTTTGCTATTTTAAAGAGTGCTATAATAAACATCTTTGCATATATCTATGATTGTTTTTTTAGCTGCTTACTTCTGTTTACTTTTACTTTTGTAGTTGGTCTCTATTACTGCTTTAGCAACCTGTCTGATGCCCGGATTTTCATCATCATGTATGGTGTGACTAGCATGTACTTTTCGGCTGTAATGGTGAGGAATTCCCTCAGTCCTAGCATACCTTTCCACTTCTAACTCGGAGGTGCTTTGTTTCCTGCATAGAGGATTCAGAAAGTGCTGGTGACTGTGCAGATACTTCCCTCTGAGCATTTGAGTGCTGAATTGTAAAGCTGCTCACTGGTTGATCTTCACAGGAATGTGGGAGGAACTCACATTCCAATTGTGGGGCCCCATTTTCTTGTATTCATAACGTGTGTTAGGGAGAAGCACTTTTATGCTTGCTGGAGAACGTGACCCTGGGCAGGTTCTTTTCTCTCTCTGGGTGTCTTAAAAAGGGAGATGATGCTTTTTTTCTTAAAGGCCTGAGAGGATTGTTGAGTGCTAAGTTGTTAAAACAGGAGAGATTTTACATATTGTAACAAGGCTGTTTCTCACACTTTTTTTGATCCCAAACCACAGTTAAGAAATATATTTTATATTACTCAGGACACATGCACACATACACACACACACACACGAAAAATGAAATACTTTAAGAAATACTTCCACTACTGTAGATTTATCAATTACTTTCTCTTCTATTTTATTGCAAAGTCATGCTTTTTGAAAACCCCTAAATTGATTTCATGATTTACTCATAGGTTGAAATCTATAATTTGTAAAACACTGATTAGGCTGTGATCTTGCTTCTTGTCTCTCTTAGGTGCGTTTAATGCTAGTGTTGGCACCTGTTATGTGTATTCTTTCTGGTATTGGAGTCTCCCAGGTGCTGTCCACTTATATGAAGAATTTGGACATAAGTCGTCCAGACAAAAAGAGCAAGAAGCAACAGGATTCTACCTACCCTATTAAGAATGAAGTGAGTATTAAGCAACACTAAGAACAGGCTTGGGAAATTGTGTGTGTGTGTGCTTAGTAAGGAAATAAAGTAGAGGACTGTCAAAGTGGGTAGAATTAACTTATATAGCCTCTGACTTATTTTGATTCATTTCATCTATATTATTAACTGTGTGTAAGAAGCTGTTCTGTGTTCCATAAATTTAATTTGGTTTTATAACACAATTTTCCTTGTTTAGGTTGCAAGTGGGATGATATTGGTCATGGCTTTCTTTCTCATCACCTACACCTTTCATTCGACCTGGGTGACCAGTGAGGCCTACTCTTCTCCCTCCATCGTGCTGTCTGCTCGTGGTGGAGATGGCAGTAGGATCATTTTTGATGACTTTCGAGAAGCATACTACTGGCTTCGTCACAATACTCCAGAGGTGAAGATTTGGGAGAAGTAGGATTGTGGGTAAAGGGGGAGACATTTGATGTTGTAGTGAATCACAGCTTTCAGATGGGTAGAATGCTTGGAGAAATTGTAACTGTAGAACTCTAGTGTTGAATGAGCCTCAAAGGTCACCTTCATTTAATTCAGGATTTCTTCTATTGTGACCCTTACTGGTTATTACACTCTGCTTGTATTGTCAGCATGGTGATTTTTATCGTGAGGTAGACTATTCCAATTATAAAAGAAGAAAAAAAGTTACAGATAAATAATACATATTCATTGTAGAAAAACCAGGAAATAGAAGCAAGAAAAAAGATAAATTTTCCATAAAGGATCACCTAATTATAATCACTTTTAACATTTTGGTTTATACCTTTTGAAAATCTGAAGTGATTTTCTTTGCAGTAGCTATTGGAAATAGCACTTCAGAGATTCATTAAGAGTCAAAACTTAAAGCATTTTTTAATCCTTTCTCATTATATCCTGTGATTTGTGTTTCCCTCATTAGTATAACTGATTATTTTATATTATTAAAGACCATTTATTTAATACAGTTATCTGATGATGCCAGTGTATTTATTTGGCAATATTAAGCAGTTCCCTACATCTCCCACTCCATTATACTTGTTTGTAAAAAGGTGATCTACAATTAACGTATTAGGAATATTGGATTGCACTGAAATTTCATGATTGTATATAAATGCAGGACCAGGTGCAAAGATTTATTTTCTGGTTATACATGCAGTATTTTGTGAAGGGATTGATTAATTAGCCATGCCTCACTTCCTATCAGATGCCCTTCCACTCCATCTCTTGTATGTGACTTTTGGAGGCAGCGAGGACCTTGTTTTCATTTCTCGTGCTTCTTTCAGGATGCGAAAGTCATGTCATGGTGGGATTATGGCTACCAGATTACAGCTATGGCAAATCGGACAATTTTAGTGGACAATAACACATGGAATAATACCCATATTTCTCGAGTAGGGCAGGTAAGGTAAAGGGATCGTTTGAGTGTTTGGCCCACAGGGTCTGGTGGGAAGTATTTCTCCGTGAGGGATCATATGAGTTGGAATTTTGTTCTGAGAAATGTGCGTGTCTTTTTCTAGGCAATGGCATCCACAGAAGAAAAAGCCTATGAGATCATGAGGGAACTTGATGTTAGCTATGTGCTGGTCATTTTTGGAGGTCTTACGGGGTATTCCTCTGATGGTAATGTACTTGATTCTATTTCTAGGTGTAGGGCATAGATTCTAAGAAAACTAGATGATGCTTCTATTTTTCTGTCCTTTTACTGTTACCTAATTAACATATTTTCTTAGGGAAGTTCCTAAGTATTTGTAGTTTGAGTTTTGGTTATTTTGATTTTTGTTTTGTTTGTTTTTTGTTGTTTTTTGGCAACAAGTAGAAAATAAATGTAAATATTTCTCATGTAGGTACAGTATATCATACTATACTTGTCTAAGGCCTAGGAGTAGTCCCACAACTGGTAAACAAAGAACATAAATGTTCTGAAAATGAACTTAAGATTTAAGGTCTTTTAGTGGGTTTAAGCCATAGAATAATCTGGCAGCTTAAAATGTTTTTATAACACACACACACATACACATGTATATACGGCATATGTTACGATGTTCCCTATGGTTATTAGCAAAACCATAGTTTTAGAAGAATCATCCAAATATTGTTCTCTGTCTTGAAAGTGCTTTTTTTTTTAATCCTTACCCGAGGATATTTTTCCATTTATCTTCAGTCAGACTTGGGGGTGGGGGAGGGTCAGGATATCTATGTGAGAGAAACACATCTATTGGTTGCCTCCCGCACGACCCCGACCAGGGCCGAGGACTGAACTGCAACCGAGGACTGAACATGCCCTTGACTGGAATCGAACCCGCGACTCTCTGGTCCATGGGCCGATGCTCTAACCGCTGAGCCAAACTAGCCAGAGTTTAAAAAAACTTAAAAAAAAATTAAGGCAATACCTTTTCGTACTTTAAAATGTTAAGCACTTCTAAAGATTTAAAATAAAGAATGGTAGTACCTGTCCCTAAACCTAAACCTGTGACCTTGACATATCAGGATGATACTCGAGCTAAATGAGCTGCAGGCCAGGAAGGGCCTATCATTGTGGTTTTGGTTTGCATTCCCTTAATGATTAGTGATGTTGAGCACCTTTTCACATACCTGTTGGCCATTTGAATATTTTTGGGAAAATGTCTGTCCAGTTCCTTTGCCCACTTTTAATTGGATTATTTGGGGGATATTTGCTATTGAGTTGTATGAGTTTTTTATATATTTTGGGTATTATGCCCTTATCTGATAACATTTTTTGCAAATATTTTCTCTTACTCTGTAGGTTGTCTTTTCATTTTGCTGATCATTTCTTTTTTTTTTTAATCCTCACCAGAGGATATTTTTCCATTGATTTTTAGATAGAATGGGAGGAGGGGGGGGGGAGAGAACAAATATTGATGTGAGAGAGACACATCGTCTGGTTGCCTCCCACATGACCTCGCCCTGGGGGGCCAGGGATTAAACCTGCAACTGAGGTATGTGCCCTTGACCAGGAATCAAACCCAAGACTCTTTGGTCCCAGGGCCAATGCTCTAACTGTTGAGCCAAACTAGCCAGGGCTGCTGATCATATCTTTTGCTTGACACTCTTCCATTCTTAAAGCTTGTTAGGTTTTTGCTTCAAACATACCCGCTGGGAAGCTACAGGATCAATGCTCTAAGGCAGTTGAATTAATGCTCTGGGACTTGTTTTTGGTCCTGTTTCTGACTGTGTGATCCAGGCAAGTCTCTGTACCTGTTTTACCATTTATAAGGTGGAGGTAAGATTGCAGATACTACATGAAGATAGTAAAATTATTTACTGAATGCTTACAAATGATATATTAAATGTTCTACATGCTCTTACTCATAATACGTGGTAGCTGTATTGTTGTAGGTACTGTCATTTTCCCAATTTGACAGATGAGGAAACTGAAGCACAGAAAGGTTAAGTAACTTGCTGAAGGTTACCCACCTAGAATTGGCAGTGCTGAGATTCAAATTCAGGCAATATAGATCCAGAGTCTGTGTTCTTAACATTGTGATATACCCTGAAACCCTTTGCAGTAGAAATCTTTCTTTCTTATGGATCAATAATACTTTTTATACTAACCATCCATTTCCCTGAGCCTATGGGTGAGATAATAATTTATTTGAGTATTATTTAATATGTACTCAAGATATTTTACACACTTAGTTTTGTTCTTAGACTAAGTCTTAGAAATTCAGTGTATATTTTAGGCCTGGTCGCTTTGGCTCAGCGGTTAGAGCATCGGCCAGTGGTTAGAGCATTGGCCTGTGGTTCGGAGAGACCCGGGTTCAGTTCCCACTAAGGTTCGGTTGCAGTTTGTCCCAGCCCTGGTTAGGTCATGTGGGTGGCAACCACTCGATGTGTCCCTTTCACGTCGATGTTTCTCTTTGTCTCTTCCTCTCTCTCCCTCCTGCTCTATCTGAACAAAGAATGGAAAATGTCCTCCGGTGAGGATAAAAAAAAAAAAAAAGAAATTCAGTGTATATTTTATATTTATATCACATCTTAATTTGGACTAGCTTCATTTCAAGTGGGACAGCTCAGCCCTAGCTAATACCTGGGACTAATATCAGTTGTGACTTAAGTCTGGACCAGTAGTATAGGATTTCAGGAGTATAATATATTTTGAGGAAAAAAGTTTTGTCTTCATATTGTCTTTCCAGTTTATATAAATGAGTTAAATGGTACCGTTCCGTTCCCCAGTAGAAAAATATTTGGGGAATTTCCTTAAAAATAGTGACCTTTTCATTAGGTGATTTAGCTCCAGCAACCTTTGTGATGTAGTTCTTTCTTTTTCTTTTTCTTTTTCTTTTTTCCCCTAGATATCAACAAGTTTCTCTGGATGGTCCGGATTGGAGGGAGCACAGACACAGGCCGACATATCAAGGAGCACGATTATTATACTCCGACTGGGGAATTCCGTGTGGACCGTGAGGGTTCTCCAGTGCTGCTCAACTGCCTTATGTATAAGATGTGTTACTACCGCTTTGGACAGGTCTACACAGAAGCCAGTGAGTGATTCATAGCAACTTGAATAACAGTAGTAAGAACGGGGATAGCTAGCACAGAGTGTTTTCATGTGCCAGTCACTGTTCTGAGTGCTTCGCATCTGTTAACTTATTTAATTCTCACAGTAACCCAAAAGGTAAATACTATTATTATTCTCATTTATATTTGAGGAAATTAAGGTACAAATAGGATACTTAACTGCCCAAAGTCATGTAACTGGTAGCAGAGTTGGGTTAAAGTCAGGTGATCTGGCTCTAGATTCTATGCTTTTACCCATTACTTTTTTATTGTATTTTTTAAAAGATTTTTTTATTGAGTTTTAGAGAGAGAGGAAGGGAGGGAGAGAGTAACATTGATGTGAAAGCGAAACATACATCAGCTGCTTCTTGCATGCCCCCTACCAGGGATTGAGCCTACTTGGTTATATGCCCTGACCAGGAATTGAACCTGGGGACCTTTTGGTGCATGGGACAATGCCCAACCACTGAGCCACAGCAGCCAGGGCTACCTGTTACTGTTTATTGTTTCTCAGCAAAAGGTATTGCAATGGAGAAAGGAATGAAGGGGGATATAATAGATTAGATAAATACATCAAGAGTAATTTGATTAGGTTAAGTCTTTCCTTCTGACTTCAATTTCTTAGTTCTGTACTAGGGACAATTTCTGAACCAGATATAGGCCTTTGACTTCTGATAGGTTCTCTGATCCATGGAAGGGTTACTCGTGTATCACAGAGGCCTTTGGTTGGCAATCCTCAGAAATAAAGGGGCTTGGAAGTCAGCCCCCCACTTCTTAGAAGACATAAGAAGAAATATCATTTTGGAGAGGATGTATCAAGTATCATCTTGAGTTACGGTAACATGGATTTGTCCTATTTGATGTCCATTTCTGAGGTCCTACTCTTTATACAAACTGCAGGCTGAGGAATAACATTCCAGTTAGTAGGTGATTTACCAAATTGATGTACTATTTCCTTAGGAAATCAGCACTGTAAAAAAAAAAGTGTGTCTCTCTGTTTTTGTCCATTTCCAGAGCGTCCACCAGGCTTTGACCGTGTGCGGAATGCTGAGATTGGGAATAAAGACTTTGAGCTTGATGTGCTGGAGGAAGCATATACCACAGAGCACTGGCTAGTCAGGATATACAAGGTGAGCAGATGTCACACTGAGAAAGCTGCCATCGTGTTTGCACACTGGTTCTAGTGCTGAAAAGTGGGCTACGTATTTCTAAAATAGGTACATTTCCATTGTCTAAAAGTAGCTTGCAATTCACTCAGAATTTTACTTCTTATTTTAGATTTTTCTTAGAGTGTAGACACCCCAGTCTGCTGTCGTTGTGGCAGTGGTTGCAGTGATATGATTCCAGTTGGGGCTGAACTTGATCTTTTTAGTGATTTTCAAGCTTTGTGGGGCAAAGTGGAGAAAGAGAAAGTGTGTTTTTGAACTACATTTTATTCTCTCCTACTGAAGAATTTATGGCATTGAGTCACATGTAAGTGTGTTATATCTAACATAAAAGATTGAAAAGCCTGGATATATTTGGAAGGTAGATCATTTATACTGCTCCTCACAGAGGTATTTGAGAGTAGCTAGTCTCAAATGAGTGCTTGTTCAGTCACAAAGCCAAACCGGGCAGCAGGATCCAACATAATCCCTCTCTGTCAGGGTGACCTCGCTCAGCAGAGAAGCTTTCCCAAGTTGACCCGATTGTAAATATTAAACTGACATCTTTATGTTGCAGGTAAAGGACCTGGATAATCGAGGCTTGTCAAGGACATAAACGTTACATCCATCTCTGATACGCTTCGCACTGAGGGCATCACATTTAGGATGCTGAAGATGTTTTTTAAATATGCAGTTTATAAGAACAGAGCACGATGGGATTAGAATTGTCTGGAAGTTTTGCCTTGGGCAGTATGGGCTGGGCCAATGCAATGATTTTTATAATTCTGAGCAGGTTACCAAATGAAATGTCATGGCTTTACTTTGGTCAATTAAAGGGAGGGAATTTTTTTTTTTAATGTGCCTTATTTGTTTTTACTTTTGACTGATTTGAGGAAGGCAAAAGTTTATGCTATGATAGGACAGAAAGGAGACCTCATCCATTTTTTTAGCTCCCAAAATCAGTTATGTAGGGGCATACTGTCAGGAAATCTGTCAAGGGCTGGGTGAGAACCTACATATACAAACACTTTTGTCATTTTGAAAATTGCAGCACCGAGCACAAAGCCTTGCACATAGTGGGTGCTCAATAAACTTTTATTGAATGAATAAATGTGGGACTAGAGGTGTGCCATTTCTGGATAGGAAAGACAGCTGTGTTGCCATCATGTCTGTTCTCAACATATCTCGTCCTTGGAAGCACTGACTTTATAAGGGAGAGAAGGTGGCTAGCCAGACCTGATCTCAGTATTCTTTGGGACTAGCTAGGTGGTTTTCCTTTCTTTCTTTCTATTTTTTTTAAAGCAGGAATAAATCAAGTGAGAATAAATCAGCAGTTTTGAAGACTCAAGGCAAACAGTAAATTATTATTCTGATTCTTAAGGGAGGAAGAAACTCCTCCAACATTATGTATACAACTTGATGGTCAGTAGGTATTTTTTGAGTCAGCTGAAATATAATCATGAATATCTATTTGAAATCCACTTTTAGTACTTTCACTTATCCATGATACGTTGAATGTCGCTTTGCTCATTTCCTTTAGTTTATGCACTAAAACTCTTGTGGTAATTTAAAGGTGAGCTGCTTTATCCCTTAGTCTCTGCCTGTTTGTTGTAATTACATACCACTAACAATCTCAGTGATCTGGTTTTGAAGTCCTTGCCCAATAAGCTACAAGTTAGAAGGAGAAAGTGTTAGTAGTATTACCTAGAGAACAGTGCTAGTCTGACTGCAGTAAAGGGGAAGAGAAATTTTAAAAAATTTTAACTCAAAGCATAGTAGTGCCAAGGATATTTAATGTCGGGATAAACAGTAAGACATTGTATGGAAATCACAACATAAGACATATAACAGTGATGTATATAAACATAAGTCATTAAAAAAAAATACAAGGTAACGTTTTAGTGTTACCTGTTGAAACAGGAGCAATTACATGGCTTTTAGTAAGTCAAAATGGTGCTCCTAGAGGGTACGCTCAGGTATACTTATACACCCAGGGAACTTACCTTCCAAACCAATTTATATACCAAGCGCTTCAACTGTGAGATTTAGTTTTGATGCAATATTTGATTTGCTCTATGTAAATACATTATTTGATTTATATACAGAACTTCCTAGTGGAAGAGGTTATTTCAAGGTTTTATTTTTTTAAATTTCTTCTTACCAATATGAATAATACCATTTAGAGATCATCAATGGGCTTCCTCTCTAGTATATATGGGATAACACTTTAACTCATCACTGTAGTTGTTGAATTTAAGTAACTTTGTTACTTTCTAGGCTGCATGGAGCTATCTTTTTGAAAATTTTACTTTTTATTTTCATTGTTATATTGCGCTTAGTGTAAAAACACCTCAATTCTAAAACAGCAACAAATGTTTTCCACTCCACAGAGGCAACCACTTTCAGCTCTGCTGATTCTCACATTACTTACCTCCATCTCATTAAATAACTTGCTTTATTTTGCTGTGTTGATTTTTCAATTTTAATTATCTGTTGACTTTCTGATGTGGAAATTGAGGATTTAGCTCCTTTTCATCATCCTGCTAGTCCCATGGACCATTTTAAGGTTTTATTACAGCTATGATTTAGGGTAGCTCAGTAGTTTTTACCTTGTGGCTTTTCATAACTAGGCCATGTGGTATACTGTTACTACTCTTTTCTCCCTTCATAACTTTTTGGAGGGAGTTTTTTTTCTTTTGTTTTTTGTACTTGTCACTGATTTCGCCACAAACTCTCATTCATTTGTGCTAACTTCCTTTTAATATGTTCAGCCTCATTAGGTATGTCTTAGAGATGTCTTCTGTTTCGGTATGTTTCAGTGTGGTTTACTCTGGGTTTGTTACACACCTCTTGGGTTAGTGTATCCTTTCACTGTCATCTTAGGTATGTTAATCCCGACTTCATTCTTGATTTGTCACCTCTACCTACCTTCCTGAGAAAGTGTGGGAGATAAATTTCTTGAGATCTTGCATGTCTCATGTCACACTCAATTAATAGGTTGACTAGGTATAGAGTTCCAGGTTGTGAATAACTTTTCCTTAGAATTATTTTGAAGGCGTTGGCCCATTGTTTTGTTTTAAGATGTTGAAAAATGCAATACTGTTCTGATTCTTGACTTTTTTGCATGTATCCATTCCCTCTCGCTTCTAACCCCCGACCTCTTAGGATCTTCTCTTTGTATGTAATGTTCTAACATTTTCCCACTGATGTGTCTTGGAGTGGATCATCTTTTGTGCTGGGTACTTTAAACTTTCAAGTATGTAAAGTCAAGTTCTTCAGTTCGGGAAATTTCCTAGAGTTATTTGTGGATTTCCCCCAATTCCGTTTCTCTTTCTGATAAATAAGCTATTTGGATGTTGGACTTCCTGGATTAATCTCCCAAAATTCTTATTCTGTTTTGCTTCCTTCTGGAAGATTTCCTAAATTTTTTGTAACCTGTCTATGTCGTTTCCCTTTTTTCTGCTATCACATTTTTTTAATGTCCAAGAGGTGTTTTTGTTTGACAATTCCTTTGTTTTGACATCTTTCATATTAAAGACCTTTTCAAATTCTTGGTTGTCTGCTCTTTTTAAGAGTGGGACCCTAAAAAGCTAAATGAAAGATCTGTTTGGGGAGAGGGTTCTGGCTTATTGATTGTGGGCCTCACTCCTGTGATCTGGCTAAGTTGTTACATTAGGAAATCCCTGATACTGGTATCTTTAGATCTTTTATGTAGATGACTTCCCCTTGAGAAGGTTTGTATATCCCCTAAGGACACAAAACTGGCCGCCCAAATTTCTAAGAGTAAAGTGGGGAAAGAAGGCTTAGAGGTTCAACCTTCATTGCATAAACTTACTCTTAATCCTTTTGTTTTCAGTAAGGAACCCAAGCCTTTAACTGTGCCTGATGTTCTCTAGCTCAGATACCATGTATTTGCCCTCTCAAGTCTTGTACCAACTTTGTGGAGGGGCAGTTCTTTGGGTACACAGAGGGAGAGGGTCCAAGGGTCTATTTGCTTCTTACCTAGTCTTTCAACCTACCCTCTTTTTAGCCCTACCTTCCTACATTTCAGGTGTCTGGTGTCACTAACTCAACCTGAGCCTTTTGGAAGTTCTGATATAAATCAAGTTGCTCTTTTGCTTTCCCATTGTTGGCTTTGGGGTTCATCTTTAGTTATCTAAACTTTCCACTTGCCAAAATCTGGTTTTTAATACTCCATTCTTTAGTAAGGTTTCAGCAAGGAACAGGGGGATGTAATGTGCAGTCACTCTCCCATATACTATATTTAACTGTGTATTCTGCCTGAAACTTTTTTCAGACTAAGATACTTTAATTCCATCCAGACACATAGAAACTAAGCAGGTCCTCTTCTTTTCTTCATACTCTTTGTTTGCAGCACACAGTGTTAAAATGAGAGAAAATGCAGTAAATAACCTGAAAACTTTATTACATGAACCTGATCTGTGATGTCATGATTTAAAACTTTTCGATTTTACTCCATTACCAGTAACACAATCCTGCTAGTTATGTTCAATGCATGTGGCCCAGTTTTAAGAACTGGAGAATTGAATGGAGATGATCTTGCCTGTGCCTTGAGTTCTCAGTCGTTACCTGTCAAGAGCGAATACCTATTTTCAGTTTTCTGTATTTTATCCTCCAGCAGGCCCCTTACCCCAGAATTCTCATTTAAACTGGTTACTCTTAAAATGTGCATTGTAAAATGAAGCGAAACAGCCTTTTTGTTCTACCTGTCTGTTCTTCCACTCTCAGAATGAGAAGGCAAGTAAGCACTAAGATAGGCATATGCTGTTCTTTCAAAACGCTGGGGCTACGGTACCGCTTTGGAGCCGGTTCGTACAACACAGGGCAAAATGGGTCTTGCCCACACAAGCCCAAGTGAAAGACCTCATCCGCATGCCCCCAGCCAGTTACCGAGGGACGGGGCTGTGGATCCCCGCAGTCTCCTCCGTCCCCCCCTGCCCGGTTCTCAGCAGCCGCTCCCAGACGAGCCGAACGAGGCCCACACAGTCCAGTCCGTCGCCCGGCAGGTGCTCGGAGGCGCCGGGACGCGCGTGGCGGCGCGCACGGGCGGAAACACAGCCCCGCGCGTGTTCGTCTCTCGGGTCTCCGGCGCCATCCGGGACTAAGACGCGTCGGTCAGCTTTCGCACGGGTGCGATCGGCAGCCAGGACCTTCTCCCGACTCCACAGCAGCCCGGGCAGGGGGCTGAAACCTGCGGCACCACCGGGAGCTACCACCTTTCCCAACCGAGAGCTGGAAAGCGCGCCCCTGCTTTACGGCAAAGGCGCGCGTGTTTGCGACAGTGTGACGCTAGCCAATTTTGGCGGGAAAAGCGCTGCATTTGGATTCCTGTGGTGGCGGGCAGAGGACGGCCTGGTGAGGAGGGCGGCGGGTAGGGGTGGGCAGGGAGTCTGCAGGGGAGTTCGGGGCGCCTTAGCTAGCGGGGGCACGGCGACGGGCGAGGGGCTCCGAGAGACTCGGCGGAGGGGCGGTCCCGGGGCGGAGGAGGGTGGCACCAGGGCGCGGTGGTAGAGGCTCGGCAGAGACCTCGCCTCTGTAGCCTGCGTGCCACCCGGCCCTTCCTTCCGTCTCGGGGCGGCTTGGCCCCGCCCTGGCCCCTCCCGGCCTCGGGCCGCTGTCAGGGTGGGGAGGAGGGGCTGCGGTGGTCGTGGTTCCCGGCCGCCTCACCCTCGGACCCGCGGCCCTTCCCTGCCCCGCCGCGGCGCGGCCCCCAGCCCCCACCCAGCTGTTACAGCGCTCCGAGGCCGGGGCGGCCGGGCGGCGCGGTCGCCGGCATGGGGGCCCTCGCCTGCGGTGGACTGGGATAAAGTGTGGCAGGTGCAGGGGGCCCACCGCGTTCCCGTCGAGGACGCGGGCGAGCGCCGGGCAGCGGCCTCAGGAGGATGGAAGCTTGCGCTCAGGCCCCGCCTTTTGTGGACCCTGCCCCTTCCAGCCGAGCGCCGCGGAGCCATGGCCGTGCCCTTCGTGGAAGACTGGGACTTGGTGCAGACCCTGGGCGAAGGCGCCTACGGAGAGTGAGTCCCCGCACCCCGTCCCGCCGCCTTCTGTCGCGCTGTCTGAGTCCCTGTCGGTTGTTGGGAGCTGTTGTAACGCGGTGGCCGTAGGAGCCTCTGCGTCCTTGCCGGCGAAGTCCGCGGTCTGGGGGAACTGGAGCGGCGGTCTCCTGTAAGGGCTTTCTGTCTTTCACATCTATCTTTGTAAAGAGCTGGAGGGGGCTGCTGAAGTCAGTGTCTCCTGCCACACATTCCTTCTTGCGGGTTAGGCGGTGTTACATGAACAAATGAGCAGACTGGCTACCTGGTGTCAAACCATTGGCCTGTCACAGGCTGCTCACTGGTCATTGCTTGTTCTTAGGCAAGCTGCTGCTGCTTTTTAAATCACCCTAAGAGATTATATACGTATATGTTGTATCTGTGTATGTATCCATGTGTGTATATTATTGGTTTTAGAGGAAGGGGAAGAGGGAAACATCTATGTGAGAGGGAAACATCCATTGGTTGCCGCCTGTACATGCCCTGACCAGGGGTCAAACCCCAAACCTAAGAGGGACCCTGACTGAGAATCGAACCTGCAGCCTTGTGGTGTATGAGATGACACTCCAGCCAACTGAGCCACCCAGCCAGGGTGGCAAGCTTCTTAATATCATTTGTGGCTCTGTTTTCTTGGCTGTCAGATGGCAATAATGGTACTTTACCCCACAGGTGCTTACAACAGTTACCATAGGGTTACTAAACGTTAGGTGATGTTAAATGAGTAGAGTATGTGTATATGTGATGTGGCCTAGAATGGCCATGATCCCATTTTAGTTTATTTTCTCAAGTGTTTATTAAGTGACTTTTGGTTATACAGCATAATGGCTTTTTTGGTGCAATATCTATTGTACCTCAAATTTCAGAAAGGAGTAGTATCTGTTAAGAACATGGCAGAAACCATTCCCGTGGTTTCTCCTTGGAGGAGAAATTAATAAAGGTAAAATAGTTTTGGATGGGTTGTGTTTAATCTTTTGAAGTTTTAAAATGAATAGAATTCAAGGGTCTGGAATGTTATAAATCGTTTTTTTTTTTTCCTTTTTAGAGTTCAACTTGCTATGAATAGAAGAACTGAAGAAGCAGTTGCAGTGAAGATTGTGGACATGAAGCGTGCTGTAGACTGCCCAGAAAATATTAAGAAAGAAATCTGTATCAATAAGATGTTAAATCATGAGAATGTAGTGAAATTCTATGGTCACAGGAGAGAAGGCAATATCCAATATCTATTTCTGGAGTATTGTAGCGGAGGAGAACTTTTTGATCGAATAGGTATGGAAAAGATTTAATATAATTATTCTACTAAACAAGTTTCTACATTTGTTTTTTAAACTTGGGTCTGCTATTTGGTCACTGTCCATTCAGAATTGCTTATGCAACAGAGAAATTGGAGTAAATTTTTTTGGTTTTGCAACTTACATTAATGCACAAAAGCATAAAGTCATCAAAGAAAACTTTTCTCAAAATTTATAAGTGATTTTGATTGGCATTGTTTTATAGATTTTAGGAATAATAAACTGTAATCTCATGATGAAGTATTATAAATGCAATGCATTGTTTGCCTATACAATTTTTTGTAGACACTCTAATTACATGAAATCATTGCATATATTTACAGATCCAAAATAATAATATATTGTTATGTTTCTTTATTTGTTTAAGCGAAATAATTTAGAATTTTCTCAGATTGCTTTTATATATAATAAGTAAATTCTGTTGCTGTTACTTAAATGTTTTATGTAGACTAAAGGGCTTGAGAGAACCCTGAGAAGTACATAAAACATTCTGTAGATTAAATTTATCATTTTAAAGCTATTGTATTAACAGTTAAAATTGATTAATAGACTCTCCAGTATTTATCACAGAAGAGAGTTGAGTGTAAAAGAAATCATGAGTTAACAAGGGAGGTCAAGATATAAAAAGATGACTGACAATAGAATATTTCTTAATAAAACTGTGTTTCCTAAAGAAACTTCACAGGCATTTGTGACTTTGTAGTGTGAAAGGTTATATGAAGTTTAAATCTATTGTTAAATATTTAGTGAAATTAGCTTATATTTGCCCAAGCTTCCACTTTGGCAATTACATTTCAGGAGTGGAAAAATCTTGGCATAACATTTTGATGAAATTAGGGGAGAATTTGAAAGATCAAATTAATCATAGTTAATATAAGATAAATGAGGGCTTTCAAGGTATGGTTTGCATTCTTTTTTAAAATTTTTTTTTTTCTTTATTGATTTTAGAGAGAGAGAGGAAGGGAGAGGGAGAGAGAAATAGAAACATCGATGAGAGAGAAAATTGATTGGCTACCTCCTTCATGTCCCCCGCTGGGGATTAGGCCCACAATCTGGGCATGTGTCCTGACTGGGAATCGAACAGGCAACCTCTTGGTGCATGAGTCAAAGCTCAACCAGTGAGCCGCACCGGCCAGGCTAG